AATTGCCTATAGGTCTCTACGAACAGCTCAGTGTTAAGGAACGACAATGAACATCACTATCTGGTTCACAGGAGTTCGACTGATGTCGGTGAACGCTTGAAGTGAACCGACGAACTACGTGCGCTGACAGAATTTCGGAATAACGAAGGCACAGGCTAATCGAGAACCCCGCGATGTTTACAAAAGGAACAACACCCTTTGTGTCTCGTTCATCCTACAGATAATCTAACCATTGGAGCTGATAGAACTCTTCGTCGGATTTCCAACGCATTTGGAATCACTCAAATCCGAGTTCAGACGAAGAAGTTACAGCGAAAACGGTCAAACGTTTTTCAGATCTGGAATTTTTGAGAATTGGCGAAGCCCTGCCGGAGTGAAGAGTGATCGAGCACTTCAACGCAAGAGAGTTTCTTCGTCAGATCTACATCACCCGTACCCGATCCTTAGTATTATCCCGTTGTGGTAATACTAAGAAGAGCAAATATCTCGCTTTTATCGAGATAGGTGCTTTAAGTTTCTAGATCTCCTCGCGGATCGACGAAGCTCTGGATCAGATCTGATTGCCAGGTAGTCCACGGATATCGACGTCCCCGTCACAGGCTAAAGACCCACGCAAGCAAGAGACGACGAACGGATCTTGTGTTTATTTTCAAGAAAGTTGTAATTTTTATTTCTTTGTTGTTTGAATTTATTTGTAACATTTGAAGTTTAATGAAATCAATGATGAAGGCAACTTTCGACGAAAACACTCACGACCACTAAATTTCTCCATTGAAGCCTTTGAAAAGTTCCCTCTAGCCTGATCATCCCCACAAAATGATAGCTAGATTCTCATAATGCTTTAAAGACTTATTGATATAACCTTTAAGTCTGCTTTTATTTTTATCCGGCAAACATTAAGTTATAACATGAATAACGTACATGAGAATATAGAAGACAAGACCAACATTTATAGTAATAGATGAACAAAAACTATAAACCTCTTTCCATGTATCAAAACTATCAGGATCTATGACGATAGTTTGTGTTTTCTCATCCCAACCTGCACCATTAATATTACGAGCAACCTGCATATCTTAAAACCCAGTACGAATAGTTTTCATATGATTAACAACACTTTTCGTAACAAAAAGTGTTCCAAAGTGCTTGTTCACTTCAGCGGTTACCATTGCAAATGCATGCTGCTTAAAGTTTTTGTCTGGTTTAAAACCAGACTTTGCCATATTTGCAAGAAAGGGTATGGGCATGTTATCATGAGCAGAGATCCACCATCTGGTTGGGGTCATATTTGCATTATCGGTTTCTGTGATAATTTTTCTTTTCTTATGGGCAAGAGCTTTGATTTTTCTTTTTAGGGCTGCTGAAGTTGCTACTACTTCATTAGTGGCTACTCTGTTATTGCAACCTGAATCAGAAGTATTCCCTGTAACACTAGTTGGAGAAAAAACTAGTCCAGAGGTATTTGAGCCTTGAAATTATTAATGAAAAAATGGTGGACTACTGAGCAAGTTCATGTATGAGGAAATGAGATGATGCAATAGTTACCATCATAGTTGGGCACATTTGAGAAAACAAATGGTGGTTGCACAAATTATGAGGACTGCTACGGCATGAAACTGTGGTTGAACCTACTGCTTGCCGAGAAAGTTGGAGAAGGTGGTGGGGCCAATGAAGTTGGAGATTGATTTGAAGTCCTTCCTTTGTTCAAATTTAACCCATCAATGGTTGATTTATCACCCATTCCTATACTTTCAACAAACATATTTCTCAAAAAAGCAATGTGAGTCATGAAAGACAACATTATGGAAATATGCAGATTGTAATAGATGATATGAAAACATCATATAACAACACACAAACATAATAAGAAGTAGATATGATATTACGACAAGAACTAACTAATACCATAAATACTCTAAGCCACATAAACTTGTGCTTAAAGTCTTAGGTTATACGAACACAAAACATAGAGTAGAATAAATGTCAACTCAAAACAAAGATACACACTACAAATCATAAGGCAATCTCAGTGGTGATACCATGACAGTATTTATCACAATAATCAATCCACATGTCCAAAGCGATTTGATCTCTACGATACTTCCACTCATCTCTTGAGGCATTTTGTTCTCTTTGTGTTTGGTTTTGAGTGAAATCAACAATATCGTTGTCTTCTTCAATTCTCTCTTCACCACCATCATCTTCAATGTTGATGTTCTCATTGAGCAAATCATCGTTTGGATCAATTGTTGCAGTGTAGTTATGGAGAACCATGCATGCTAAAACAATGTCAACTTGTACGGGAAGGGGTAGTGGGGTTTTGCCGTGAGAATCTTGAAGCGATTCTTCAAAATACCAAATGTAGCTTTAATCTTTGACCTCAAAGATGAATGTCTAAGATTGAATAACTCCCTCCTATTTTGAGGTGTTCTCCCCGTTAATTCCTTTAAATGATAACGAACACCACGATAAGGGGGTATAAAACCTAGCACAGTTGTGTACCCCGCATCGCACAGGTAATACTTGGCTATATATTATACACATAAATTTTTATGAGATATGGCTATGTAAATATTGGTGAGGAATATTAATGATTGGGTAATTAATTTGAGGAGTTAACGAAAATGTTACTAGTGTAGACTCTTAAGTCATATGGTTGTGATCTAGATAGAGCATCTTGAAGGATTCTATAGTCATTTGGAGACCCCTCCCACCCAGCTAATACGTAGGTAAACAATTTGTTTGGTGTACAAGTGGTAAGAATATTTTGTGTGACACATTTGCGCCCTCTGAACCGTGCAACAAGACTAGCAGGTAGCATAGCATCCACATGTGTCTCATCTATCATACTTATGCAATCCTATAGAGTACATCAACTTACTATGTTAATGTGAGATATGATTTGATTAGACAAGTATTTGCGTAATTTTATAGTGTGGATGATATACCTTGAAAAATGGGTAATATGATGGATTATTAAGGATCTCTTGTGGCACTTCATTCGGTGCTTGTTTCATATATCGGCCTTGTATGCATGAAATAGCTTGTAATATTCTGTTGAAGTATCTACTAAATGTTTCTCCTGATCTTATAAATTGTGTTCTCACAATATGATTTTTGGATTTATGGCCCAATATATTCAATGTTATTGCAAGCTGCTCTTCTACTGTTATAAGCCTTGAGTCCTTTAAGAGATTGTTTCCTCATAATCTTTGCTAGTTTGATAAAAGCACCTGATCGTATTCTAACAAAGTTTTGACAGCTATCACTATAACCGTGATATACACGATTTATAAATTCATCCCTAATTTTTGATGCCTTATCTATTCTTCGCTTGGTCTAGACTGTATTGATCTACGTCGGCACTTCATTCTCCTCAAGAATGTCAAATACTAAAATCATGACAGAAAATGCAGCCCCAACATATATCCTTAAAACAACCTCTTCATCATCAAAATCACCATCCATCTACAATTTTCACTTATAAATTAAAAAACCAAAGAATATGATGCCTTTTTAATAGCATGCTTAGATCATTAAAGAATAAAGAGAAGCACAGTTGCATGAAATAATAATATCACAATAGAAAGAAATAAAATGTAAATGCAGTACATGACACAAACTCACTATGAATACACCCATAAATGCATAACTCATTCACCAACAGCTATTACGCATAGCAAAAGTGCTAGGAAAAATACATGAAGATGGTGCATGAAATATGTCGTGTATGGCTATGGTCTCAATACCCGTAAAGCTTAGAAAATAAGCATCATAAATTTCATAACTATCATCATACATATATAGAAACAAGCATTTCTGAGAGACAAGATGGACGAGCAACAGACAACAATTAACTGGAGGAAGTCACCAAGCAGTACCTCACAAAAGACCTAATCTCAATTTTTATTGTTGATGAACAAATTAAGTCAAACTTCTATCAATTTTTTCGATGATGAACAACAATTAACAGAAGAAAGTCACCAAGCAGTACAACTATAGACATGCAGCAACAAGAAAAATTTAGTCAAATCCCCAAATCTTAGATTTTTGTTGATGAAAAATACTTAACAATTTGTTGCATGTTGAAAAATTAACAACACAATGCTCTCAAAGCAAGAGGAAGGGTAAATGATTAGAGATCGAACCTCTTGCAGATGAAGTTGAGTGAGATTCAGTAAACACCACAAATTCATATATGCAATTAGCAAATCTGACGAAGCAACAAGTAGAAGAAGAAGATACAACCGTAAAGACTCTGCCTGTTTAGCAAATCTGCCAAAATTTACTCAAAATCTGCCCGAATCGGTGTCGCCCTAGCCATTGCTTTGATTTTTCATCATCTAGAAAGGAAAATTGATGAAGCAATCCCGAAATTTAAGGGGCGACTGCAAATTTATCTGTGAGCAATGGAGTCTTCGAGAGGGAGAATGGTGAAAATGATGAGAGGAAGACGGAGAGGAGAACCCTAAACCATTTCCCCCTTTTCACTTCCCGCGGGTCTCGAAACAGTGAGCCGCCAAATTATTTAGCTACAGTGCATTTCTCACCCATTTCAGACGCGAAGGGCCTGAAATAGGGTTTCTACAAATCCCGACGTGGCACCGCATTTCATCCCTCATTTCTTTAAATCACCCAACGAAACAAACGCTAGAAATAAAAAAGAGTAGAAATCAAAATCCGATGTAGCTCTGTTGTCAGATTTCAAATGCTCCATTTCTCTTTTTTTATTGAGCAAACAAACAACCCCTAAAGAAAAAACCCATAATTTACTTCCCTCAGTAAACAACCAGCCGTAAAGAAAAATCAATGGGCACATGCCTTGTCCCTTTCCTTCATTATGACTGGATTACAGTTTTACCCGTGAAGAAACTAATCACACACAATTATACCCGTCCAAAGCTAATCCAACCGTCTAGATCAACCCCACATAAAACTAATTTAGTTACATTTCCCTTTTTACCCCTCTCTCCTCCTTCCGCCACTCCTCTTCACCTTTCTCTTCTCTCTGCTCCGCAATCGAATAAAAAAAAGGATATATTTTTTTTCTTCCCACAACAAACCCTAAACCATCAAGCAGCTCCTTTTATAGCAACTGAAACCCTAAAACTCATCAAACTTCTCTACCCATCATTTGGATGCGGGAACTCTCTTAAAGGCCTAGGCTTCCAACGATGATCACGGAGAACTCCTCAAATTTTGATGACTTCGAGAAAGATCTCGAAGCTTTGCTGAGTGAGAGTCATCTAAGCAGGGAATCATCTCTAGATCGCGAGCGAGAGCTCAACATTTACAGGAGCGGCAGCGCTCCGCCGACGGTGGAGGGGTCGAGGACTGCGATTCGGAGCTTGCTGGGCCCCGTTAATGGCGAGGGATTGATGTCTGATGAGGAGCTGAGGGCTCATCCTGATTATTTGTCGTACTACTATTCAAATGATAACTTGAACCCTAGGTTGCCGGGGCCTTTGATGTCGAGAGAGGATTGGCGAGTGGCTCAGAGATTTAGGACGACGAACTCGGCGATTGGGGATAGAAGGAAGGGATTGGGGATTGGAGGTGAGAGCTCTCTGTTTTCGATGCAGCCGGGGTTGCCTGGGGGAAATGAGGAGAAGGATTGGGGCAATGGTGGGATAGTTGGGCTTGTGGATGTCGGCTTAGGAAACAGAAGGAAGAGCTTTACAGATGCAATTCAGGTCGAAAAGTTTCATCTTTTGCACATGTGTACTTGTATTTAGTTGTTGAGATGATGCGAGTGATGCTAGTGGTTATTCATACATGTTTGACACTTGGTAGGGAGGTTACAAATAGGTGTTTGTTTTAGGCCTCATATTTTTTTTCCAGCTTACATTGTGAGGTACTTTTGATGTTTGGGTGAACTGACATTGCTTACGAGTGTTTATAATGCCATGATTAAGAAGAACAAAGTGGACTTTCCCTTGCTGTATGTGCTACACTTTATTTCCATATTAGGAATGAAGAGATACATGGAGGGGATTGAATGGTAGAAACCAAAGGATTACATGTAAACCTTTTAATTAAAAGTACCTGATAGATTTTAAAGTTTAAAATGCTAATCCTGCCAAGATACAGTTTTTCAGTCAGTCTCAAGGAGGTAATCATGCTTCTTAGTGTTGCTCCTTTCTTGCCTGCATGTTAATTGTATACATCTTACAGGCTTACTATTTCAATTGTTGGAATTTACAGCGTACTTGGTTAGTCTTTGTAGCCTGTGTGTAATAGATTCGGTCACTGTGTCCATGAATCCTTCTAGACTTGGCACGCTATCAAGGTTTTAAATGTCGGACGGCGGGTTCATGTCGGACGGCTGAAATCCACGCGGATAGCTAAAATCGGGGATATATCGGGGGACATGGACTAAATATCGGATTGCCATATCGGGTGGTACGTGTATGTATTATATTATGTCCTAAATGTTATCTAAGCATTCCTAAATTCAATATAAGCATACTTTATAAATTCTATAGACTAAACATATAAAAAAATAAATAATATATGATGTTTAGGGTCACTAACCGATTGTAGAAATTTGATTCTCGATTGCATCTTGAAACCATTTGGGTGCTTGACCTACAAAATAAGAAAACATTGTTAGTAAACATAGAATAGCATATAAAGAATAAAGCAAGTAACATATAAGATATAACATATAGAATGAAGATCACTCACAAGACTCATATCAAACATAAGCAAATCAAAACAAACAAACAAACAAGTTTTTAAAGCTACAAATAGTTTATAATTGTTTAACATTCAAGAGCAAATCCATAATAACATAAAAGCTAAGATAACTAGAAAGTCTAGAATCAATCTTCATCGTGATCAAAAGTAAGATCATCATCCTTATCCGAATCCGTGAATAATGCATCCATCTCTTTTTCCTCGTCATCTTCCATCGGCTCCTTTCCTTTTGATGAAGATGATCCCGACTTCTTCTTTCTTTTATACATTTGCAACCTTCCATTCTTTCTCTTTCTTGGATTAGCTCCCGAAATATCTCCAACTTGCCTAAAAATCAAACACTCTCCTAGAAATACTTCATCATTACTATTATTCCTCTCCTCACCCAACAACCATTCGGAGACCCTTTCCTCATCATCGTAGGCGGTTAAAGGATCTCTATCTATAATGGCATGCTTGTTCTTCAACTTTGCATTGAACTTGACAAAGACTAAGTCATGAAGTTTTTTATGAGTTAGCCTATTCCTCTTCTTCATATGAATCTACAAAATAAAATCATGAATTAACATAAAAAACTAGTCATCAAATACTACAATACAAGCCTACAAGACTATTAAAATTTAAGAATTAATATTACCATCTCAAATGTACTCCAATTTCTTTCATAAGCCGATGAGCTAGTTGTTAAGCCCAAAATCTTCATTGTCATCTTCCTCAACTCGGGAGTATCGTTTCCATAAAGCCTCCACCAAGTAACTAGTCAATTCATAATTAAATAAATTTAGTAACTTATAAATTCAAAATAGAGGTCAATGAATTAATTTAAAGGAGAACATAAATTTACCCGGACAATCACCCTTAGTAGCTCCTCGCCTTGTAAATTGATCCCCAAGTGACCCTAGACATTCTTGATAATTAGGTATTTGATCTCTAATCTTTGTGAAAGTCGCATGGTCATCGGGATAGAGTCTATGCATACACTCCACCATGGCTTTCATGAAGCTTCCATCACCTTCAATGTCCGTGTAAGCCGGGTAATAGAAAAAATGTTTCAAAAAGTAGCCCGCTTTATGTAGCGTTTCACTAAGATTTTTCTTAAATCTTGGCTCAATCATTTTCAATATGGGATTGTATTTCTTCCCATCATCCCCAAGGGTCACTTTCAACTCCTCCATAGCCACCAACATGTCCCCATATATAAATCCCATTGAACCGATTTTATCACTATTCGCTCTTTAAAGAACCTTCACAGAGGAGTGAATACTTTGAGGGCAAAGTCTATATTATCCCAAAACTTGTTGCTAGCAATTATCTCCGCAACCTACAAACATACAAAAAAATCCAATCAATGAAATATAAATGATCAAATAAATAAAATGAATACAATTAAAATATATCTTTTTGCCCACCGATGTTCTTGAAAGGCTACAATCTGTCCATTGTTCAGAGATAAACATTTGCCTCATCTCTTTCTTATGATCTCTTAATGACTGTAGAGAAAGAAACGTCGTAGCAAACCTTGTAACCGCCGGTCTCACAAGTTCACCCTTAGTTAACTCTCTAAATAATTGAAGAGGCTTGGTGTGATTATATAAGAACACTGATACACTTCTCCCTATTAAAATGGCATTACGAATGAGTTTTATCTTAGCTATATCGGACAACATCAAGTTCACTGTGTGCAACACAAGTCCTCCAAAATATATTTGGCCTCTTCTCGACCAACAACTTAGAAGCTGTCATATTGTTTGAAGCTACATTAGTGACTATCTGCACCACATTTACCTCCCATATATGATCAATAGTTTTGTCTACAAAGTCACAAATATATTGAGCATCGTGCTTATCTGCTGATGTATGTGAAGACAAAAAACAAGCTCTCTCAGCAGAATGTACAACTATGTTCATGATGCTTTTAGACTTCCGATCACTCCATGCATCAGTCATTAACTAGCAACCATTGACAACACAAGTCCTTTTAAAGTTTTCAACAATTTCTTGTCTCATCCACTTCTTTTTGCAAATGTCTCAGTTCATACATCGATGGAGCTTGTAAATGACTTCCAAACAAGCCAATACTTTGTAACATTGATGGAAAGAGCGAATCGTGGCGGTATGAAATGGAATGTCGGCTCATAGAACCATTTGAAGATGTATCGCAATACATCCTCCCTTTTCTTCTTTTTAAGCTTGGAGTCCACCGTCGGTTGTTTCCCATTTGCTACTATTTAGGCAATCTCCTTGGGAGAACGAGCGACGAAGGAGTTCATTGGTCCAATTACCTTGTGGGAGGATGACGAGCTTTTTTGACTAAATGAGATTGAGTTATGCTCCTCATCCTCCCCAATATGCACGTCACTCAACAAGTTATGCATTTTCATCTCCTCATCCTTGCTCTTCTTTGCATTATCTATAATTTCGGAAACTTTTGCCTTAACATCATCATGAACTTTCACACATGGCGCACAATTTCCCTTCTTTCCGGCTAGGTGTTGTTTGAATCGGCTAATTCTGCCATTGAGAATTTGAGTACAATAGTTGCATTTAACTTTGTATCGGAACCAACTCTCTCCCCCATATAGCTAACGTGGATCTTTATCGCCCATTTTTTTGGTGTTGTTGACGGTCTAGTAGATCATTGTCCTTCGGACGACATGATTCTACAAAAATTATAAGAGAGAAATAATAGGTTAAACTATTAAAATAAGAAGAAGGGGGAAAAAGAAAAGAAAATGAAAAGGGAAAACAAAGAAAGAAAGCAACATGTAAGAGGGTGATATTAGGTTACAACAAGAAAGAAGGAAATTGTGGCATAACTATTTACTTGCAATGAATATTTGCCATTGAAGATGAGAAATGAATATGTAATTTTTCTTCCATTTTGAATTTATAATGTAAATTTCCTTATACTCGCTCATCATTCAGATTTGCAGTTTATCAAGATGTCACTAGCACATAGCATTTCAAGTTTAGGGTGACATCCATATCGTAACAAGGTTCCTAAACTCGATGTGAGATTTCAACAGTCAAGACAAAATAAAAACAATTATGTACATCCTTGACAAAATAAAAACAATTATGTACATCCTTAACCACATCTCAGGCTTCTGAAAATCTAAATGATACACAAATACATAACTTAGCCTTCAACTATATATAAGACAATTTGATATGAAACGATGTGCGTGTATTCAGGAGATCAACAATCTAATTAAAGTTTCACGATGTTTCACCAACTAAATCACGATCGTGTAGGAAATAGATTCAAAATTCCTTAATATTGAATTAAATTGCAAGTGTAGTTCTAGACTAATTGAATCTTATTGAAATTAAACGCAATTCAAGTTACGATGGTATTATTCGAATCTCAATATCAAAATTCAGTAAAATGTAGAGTCAACAGATTACACACCTCATCAATTATAAGGGAGCAGCAAATAATTGGTAATAAATTAGAGATGTAATCTAAATGATGAACCTAATAATATTCTAATAGTTGAAGAGGAGACTACCTGATAGAATCCGTGGTTTGGACTCACTCCTATCACCTCCTTACCGATTCCTTGTTGTGCAGATACATCGGATTTGATGATTGAGACGCTGGTGGAGTTGGGTGGCGGCATGGAGTGGCGGCTCGTGGTCAAGGCGTTAATGGGGGTTGGTCGTTGGTTGGTTGGTTGCGAGTCGCTGGGCGTCAGAGGAGATGGGGAGGAGGTGGTGCTGGTTGGAGCTCGTCGTCATGACTCACTTGATTAATCATTAATTTTTGATGATTCATTGCATGACTCATAGGATGAGTCATTCATATCATGAACACATTTCACTCTATAAATATGAGCTCTTTTTCTTATGGAAAGGTTAATGAAAAATTGGCTAAGTGTTTTTTTCCATAAGAGAATAAAAGAGAGCTCTCCTCTTACTAAACTTTAGCAATCTTTGAGCAAGAAGAAGTAGTAGGATTTTAAGAACCCCGGGGTGGATATCTTGTCTTGTG